GGAGAAAGGACGAACCTCACTTCGCAGATCCATGAGCTCCAGAACCAGAACGCTCAGCTCATCGAAGATCACACCCGCGACGTGCTCTCGATAAAGGCAAAGGAGACGCAACTCGTCCGTGCGCGGTCAGACTTTGAGGCATCCGAGCAGACAGTACAGAACCAGCGCCGCGAGATTGATAGATTGAAGCGCGAACTCCTTAGACAGGCGCGTTCAAATTCTCCGCCAGCTACAGACGTCGGAGACCAGATATACACCGACAACGGAGTTGCTAACACCAACGGCGCGCATTTCGGTGACTCTGGCTACGGCAGTCGGGCCATGCACCCAAGGCGAGAGAGGAGTTTTGCCAGTGGGCCAGGAAGCCCGGGCGGCGATGGTAAGGAGAACTTTGATTCTCTATCCCGCCCTGGCAGTAACTTGAGTGGAAAACTAAGTCCACGAGCAGATGGTCTGTCATCGATGTCGCGTGATGGCAGAAGCCCAACAGAGAACGGAACAGCTCAACGGGTACCTTCCGCGGGAGCATCCGGCGCGGAGAGCTGGAAGCGCGCAGCAGAGGTTACTCAGAATCTCAAGCAGAGGATTGAGATGATGAAGGTCAGTTCCGACACCTCCCACTTTGAAGAAGACCGCCGTCTTTGTTTTAGTTTTAACGATGAAGCTTACAATTCCTCAGGCTAAGCAAGGGATCGGACGGCCACAGCAATAGAATAGCGACTTGCCGACTCGACCTCATCTTCTCGACGAGCAGTCATCTTTGCGCTTGCACGAACGAATTGCCGCGCTTCACCCAAAATCGAGACGGGCCCACACAGATTTTCTCCATGGCGTTCATGGGGCTTCGTAGCTCATCGCTTATCTTGGACCCTGCACCCCATACAAGGGAAAAACTGAACACCTAGGAGCCTACGTCGCCGTCAAGCCACCAAATTCACAAGTTTTTATCTTGATGTAGGCTCTAGGGTGTTCGGTTTTTGCTTTAAATAGGGTGCCTGCATGCGCTCTGCATGCATTTATCCGTGAGCATCTTCAACGGCGTTGGTCTGGCTTGGGGCATGCATTTGTGTAATAGTGTTAGGCAGGGCAGGGCATGAGGCTTAGGATAGACCGGGGAGAAAAGCACGCGTGCAGGCTCTATGACTTGCATGGTCTTGGTGCAGAGGGGAGACATTGTTTTTCCCTTCCTTCCCTTCTTCAGAGATTCCCCACACGCTTTTGTTTACCGTAATCGAAATATTAGATCTTGAGCTCTTCCTTCCCTCTTTGCCTACATTTCTCTTCTTCGGGATCCCAGTATCGAAGCTATGACCCGTCCCTCGCTCGCCCAACCAACAGATCGCGTCGCGTCAGCCCCAGGCTACCACTCCCCTGGGTCCTCACAAATAACTGTGCCGCAGACCGCAGCGACCACCCTTGGCAGCACACCCCGGACAATGAGATCGCAACGTTTTTTATCTGCGACAGCGACGTGCTGCAGGGTCACTTTCCCCACAGTACAGAAGCAGCAGTCACCTCAATCCGTTCTTGTGCATCATATACCACGCATCGCATACGGCATCCTGAATGCGCAGCACGCGCCACCTCTCCGTCTCAGCCATGATGGACCCGGGACTGTCGCGACGAGCGCGGAACGCGCTCGACGGGCTTGGGCCTGCGCTTGAGGGTACCGCACCGGAGACGTTTGACCCTTTTGGGAATACGATTGATCTTAGTTGTGGGGGTAACGAGATGTTGTATCCGGAGTTACAAAAGTTTCTGGGGGATGTTGTGAGGGATGTGGGGGCCGTTGAGGTATGTTGATCTTCTCGCTATACAGCACAATATACTTTCGACTAATCCGGTAATCGTTGGGATAGGCATTTATTGAGCCTGCGCCATCGCTGAGTGGCGGCGATTCAGGGTTGAGGAATGCTCTTGCGGGCTTTTTTAACACGTACTTCAAGCCTGTGCATGCTGTGAGGGCGGAACATATCGTTCTTACAGCCGGGACTACGGATGCGATCGAGAACGTGATTCATGCTGTTTGCGACGATGGGGATAGTGTGCTTGTTCCTGGTCCGAGTTGTCGTAAGCATTCCTTCCACATTAAGCCCCAGTCATATCCATAACTTCGTCCAACCCTGACTTACAAAATTGCCCTCTTTGACTGATATAACCACAGCCACCCTTTCGCTCTTACTGAAGCGAAAAGCAAACGTAACACCCATCCCCGTCATCCCACCAACCCACATCCACTGGGACAACTACCTCGTCCCTTCCCTGCAAGCTGCCTACGACTTCTCCGACTACAGAACGCGGATTAAAGCTGTTTTGTTGTCTAATCCTAACAATCCCCTCTCGCGATGCTACCCCCGGGAGACCTTAAGAGAATTACTGGAGTTCTGCCAAGAAAGAGGATTGCATCTAATCGTCGATGAGGGGGCTGGGTTGATGGCGTTGGATGGTAAAGACGGGGGTGGGGGTATTGGAGGCGGAGGAAGGGGGAAAAGAGGTGGTGAGACGTTTGTAAGTGCGTTGTCGTTGACGGAACCGCTTGTACCGGAGGGAGCCGTCAAGGTCGATCCGAGTCGCGTGCATGTGGTGTGGGATGCAAGCCGGTTATTCGGATTAGGTGGACTGAAAGTTGTAAGTCGTTCTTCTTGTCTTCTCAGAACTACACCTGTTGCAATGATCGGAGCTGATACGAGTATTTCAGGGCTGCGTGGTATCCCAACAAAACACCCCCCTCCTCACCTCTTTAGCACTAACATCCACACACCCCTCCTCCCTCTCGACCATCTATCTAACCTCCCTGCTTACATCATCCCTCCTCCCCTCCCTTCTCACTCTAAACACATCCCGCCTGTCAACTTCCTACAACATGCTCGCTTCCTTCCTCCGCCGCCACGACATCGAAACCGTGGTACCGACACACGGCCCCTTCCTCGCTGCTAAACTTGCAAAGAAGACTAGGACAGGAGAGGAGGAGATCGCTTTCTGGAGGGAGTTGGAAGGGAGAGGTGGGATCAAGGTTGCGCCTGGGCGGGCGTTCAATGGGGTGGAGAAGGATGGGGGTTGGGCGAGGGTGAATTTTGCGGTCAGGGAAGAGGTTATGCAGGAGGTGGTGGGGAAGTTGGAGGAGTTTTATGGGGGGAGTGGATGAGGGCGGTCTTTTCGTCTGGAGTGTTTAGCTGGGCGGTGGTTTGCTTGCCTGGCCTCGGCGCGTACTGTGCTGTTCGCGATGGGCGGGAACGTTGTGTTTGCTTTCCATGGTATAAGCGTGGGCGGAGCTTGTTTTCGTCGGATTGTATAGAATGACATGTGTACGGTTTTTCTGGCTTTCGGATAGTGAAGCTTGCGCTGGATTGGAGTATCTAATAGTACAATATCAGGTTTCCTTCCATGCCATGACTAAAGCGCATGTGTCCTCAAAGTGCGCCAACACCGTCCACGTACAACATACCAACGGGATCACCTCACAAATGTCCTCCCTCTCATGATCGCGCCTTTACCCGGTCCCTTGCCCGCCTCAAACTATGACGACGTGCCCAACACCCCATCATTCTCCTCAATGTACCTGACCATATCATCAATCGTGCACACCTTAATCCCCCACTTCTTGCCAAAAGCCAAGCAGTCATCCCTCCTCATCATGCCCCCACCAATCAACTCCGGCTTACCAGGCACCTCGTCGCCATCCGTAATCAACTCGCAAATGACACCCACAGGTTGTTTTCCCGCCAACCGGCACAGATCCACCGCCGCCTCTGTGTGTCCCCTCCTTTCACGCACACCACCATCCCGCGCCTGCAACGGCAATATATGACCCGGTCTCCTGAAATGGCTGGCTTTGGCACTGGGGTCGGCGAGCATGCGGCATGTTAAGCTGCGGTCGGTCGCTGAGATACCGGTTGTAACGGACGCGTCGGATGAGTCGATGCTGACGGCGTAGGCGGTGCGGTTGGGGTCGGCGTTGTCGGCGACCATTTGCGGGAGGTGCAGGGCGGCGGCGCGGGAGACGGGGAGGGGCGCGCAGATGTAGCCGCTTGAGTAGCGGATCATAAAGGAGGCTTTTGAGGGCGTCAGGGCCTCGGCGGCGATTATTAGGTCGCCTTCGTTTTCGCGCGAGGGAGAGTCGAGGACGATTACGAATTCGTCATTTGCTGGAAGGCGCGTTAGTAAGGGTTGTGGAATGAGGGGTAAGGTGACTGTTGGAGCTGGTGATGCTCGCAGACACGTACCGAAGGCTTGTATGACATCTGGTATCGAGTCAAATGCTGGGTGTGCGGGTGTGGGATTTGAAAGCTCCGTCGCGTTGCCATTGACGCCATTTGTGCCGTGGGCAGGGAGCCCGTTCTGTAGTTCTGCCGGCATGTTTGGGGTATGACTCTGATCCAATTACTTTCGCCTGATATCGCTTTCTCTTAAAGTAGTCGTGTCAGGGAAGAATAACGAAGCTTGGTGGTTCCGCGTGCTTGCAAAGCGTAGAGCTCGCTACCACTCTGCTTAGAAAAAGATCTCGTAAGCCACCGGATGTCCGCGCCTGGAACCTCGTGGTATGCTAAGCTCTGGGATAGTGCTCCTTATGTATGCTTCGAGCGCGAATGTATACTGCGTGACAACACGAGAGTTAATTGAAGGAATACGGGCGGAGTCAACGGTGGTGATGTTTGGTAGCTGCGGAGCCGTCGGGGTTGATGTCACATGGGTACCTTCCAAGGTTTGGGAGGGGTTCTTGCCTGCGTCGGTGCCTCGGTCGCGGCCTCCGATGTGGCGCTGACCGATGCCGGTCGACGTAGACAAGGTTCTATTGCTCGAACTACCATGGAAATGCTTTATGTCCGACATAGCACATGTACCTGTCGTCGATCTTTTGCAAAGAAAGTTTATCCCACACGCCCCCGACGAGGCCTCCGAATCCATGACATTCCTTTCGCGCAGTGCAGCTCCACTTCTGCAAGCGGTAAGCTACCTAGGTATCCTCGCACAGCCAGCTACCAACGCATACCTGAGGATGATTAGGGCTTGTAACTGAGCACCCCAAACTTGTAGTATCTGGTAATGTCAGTGTTAGACGTGTTAATCCTCAGGATTATCAACAGGGTGCATACCTGAAACCATCTTTGCCGTCGAGCTCCCGGCAGAAGGAGACGATTTCATTTCGGCCAAAGGCAGCTTGAATATCCGGATTGAATCCTTGCCACTCGTCTAGCGTAGTAGCGACTAGTTCATCAGCCGTAAAGGATGATGTTTCCTTGGACTGGAACCAGTCGACCATGGCAACTCTGAACTGCTCGAGAAGGTTGATGCGCGATGCAGCCGTAGAGCTTGTAGGAGCTGCGGAAGCTGTGCTGACGATGCTGCGCATTTCAACTTCAAGTTCCTGAAATGTCTGGATCGCCTGGTTGAACTCAACTCGCATATGCTCTGGCATATACGACTGGCAATCGAAAAGGAATCTGACCGCTGCGATACCGGCAGAACGCTCGTCCTCTCGATCAACTCCCGCCCTTCCTTGCAGTTGGCCATCATCGCCAGTGCTTGCTGGCTCTCCGCCTCCTGGCATCTTTCCCGCACCCCCTTCTTCACCTTCCTCGTCGCCGGCAGTGACTTCTTCTCGGCCCTCGTTATCTTCCTTATCTTCTCCTACTGGCACAGCGCCCATAACAAGTGCCTCGATGACTGGAACGGGGCTTGCCGTGGATGCTTGGTTTCCGCGGATCGGAAGAAGTTGAGTGTCCCCACCATCTACAATCAGCGCGTTACCCTCGCCTAACTTAACGCCCTCGGCTTCCATCTCTGCCTCCTCCTCGCTGTCGTCTAGCTCAACTCCATCTGCTTCCGAGTCCGTCTCGTCCTCATTGTCCTCTCCCTTTTGTTCGAGCATGTGTTCCTGGAGATCCCGGTCTCGCTGCCTAGCCAACTCGTCAATCTTTCCACGGAGACCTTGTAGGAAGAAGAGCGAGTTCGTATCGTTTGTTTCCCTTGCTCGTAGGAACGCTCTACTGCAGGCGCGCTCCTGAATTGCCACGGTCGAAGTCAGCGTATGTCTCGCATCTAGTCTGTACACTGGAGATATTACCGCGGCGAGCTTCCATTCATTGCCTTCGTCCCAGTTATCCACAGCGCGCGCAAGAAGTATGCAGTATCTAATAAAGTAGAACACCGGAAGAGTTGTGTCGCTGGGGAAAGTCAGTCGCAATACTAATTCTGGTCAATGTTCTGTTGCTGCCACTTACCATACGTTTTCCTTAGCTGCTGATATGCAGCCAGCTATATCGCCGCTGTCGAAGAGCGCTTGTACGTCGTCGAATTTCTTCTTGAACAGTCTCGCTGCTGCGGATGGAGGAGACATTCTCGCTCTTGTTGTGTGCAGACTTATGGGAATTTCAGTATTGGGTCAGCAAGAGTGCAAGGGAGCGCAAACGCAACGACGTAGACACCAGAGTTTGGATGCCAGGCATTGCGTATAGGACAACAACCAACTTGTTTGCTACGCGAGGAGGCAGAAAATTTTCACTCCGTTTCACTTTACACTAGCATTCCCCTCTACTCGACTTCTGCACCTTTTCGTTCTGGATCTCAGTCGCGCCTGCAATATCCAGCAATCGTATCAACAACTGCGCCGTAAGTTTTTTCTCGCGCAAGGCGAGCTCCTCGGCCTACACATGACAGTCTGTTCTTGATTATATGGAAGAGAAGACGTCGAAGCAGCTACCGTAGAACCCACGCCCAGCATCGTCATGAAATCGTCCACCAAGCCTACAGCGCCTCTGCAAGACGACGACCAGCCCGCTCGCAGTCTGCAAAAGTAGAAAAGTGGAAACTTCGGCGGTGGTGTAGCTAATATGTATGCCTCTAACAAGTCGTTGAACAGGAGCAGTGGCAGACTAGCGTTGCACGTCCTCGCGGAAGATGAGGGCGGCAAGAATATGTAAGAACAGTAAGCGTTTCTGAAGTGTGACGTATAAAGCACAGTGTCACGCAGCGCCTACCTAGGCGGCGTGTGTTAAATGTGCATCTTAGACTTTCTTGCAGTAGTTAGGCAACCTACGTAGTTCTAAAGAGCGATAATTTAACAGTTCTAACATCTTAGGCTCCGTGCACCTGCATCGGTGACTCGGTCGCGGCCGCACCGCCTCTGATGTGGCGTTGACACCGAATGCCGAGGTGTGGCTGCTGCAAGATCGATATCTGACAAGTCTGGATATCCTTGCACCAGATGCGCTGTCTGTCAGACGTCGTGCGCTGGTGGCTCTGGAACATGGCGTTCTCTCATTCTAACGAACCAATTGTGATCACATGCGAATATCCCAAAACATGAAGACTTTACGTTTTGTGTACCATTGTAATAAACCTGATCTATATCAGATACAAGTGAGGGTATATGTGAAGAAAACTACCCACGTCTGCGCGCATCGAAGCGTCTCGACGTGATAACGCCATGTATACAAAAAGGTCGCAAAATGACTATCAAACATGAAATATACAATCTAGACATCAGAGCAGACAGTCTACGAAGCCCGCTTATCGGTGACAAACTCCTTGTCGTCGTGAGCCGAGCTGCCTCCGCTATGCGGCTCTGAGACACCCATAGTCTCCGGGTCAGATCTCCAGAAGTCCTTCTTTCCGCTGGCGAGCCTCTTAACCCACGGGGGGAGGAGGCCACCCTCGAGACGCCAGGTCCAGTGCTCTTTCTCGTCCTTGTTGGGAGGTACAATGCGACCACCAGAAGCCTTCTCGATAAGCCAGACGGTGGTGTTGATGAGGATGTACGAGCAGATACCGGCGATCAAACCGTAGGCGATGGAATATGTGAAGGGCATGACGGCGATAGTGAGGAAAGCGGGGATGGAATCGCCGAGGTAGCGCCAGTTGATGTCCTTGGCCGAGGTTGCCATGAGCGAACCGACGATTACCAGGGTGCAGCCGGTAGCCCAGGGAGGGATGGATGCGAAGATCGGAGCGAAGAAGATGGCGATGAAGAAGCAGATACCAGAGAACATGGCGGTAAGACCGGTCTTGCCTCCTTCAGAGATACCGGCACCGGATTCGATGTAGGCGGTGACTGGAGGGCATCCCATAAGCGATCCGATACTGATACCGAGAGCGTCGACGGAGTAGGCGATGGAGGAGTTTTCGAAGTCCTGGGTGCGCTCGTCGATAACACCGCAGAAACGAGCCATGGAGTAAAGGGTACCAGTGCCTAGTGATGTCAGCATACAATTCAAAAAGTCTGTGTAGCGCGCAACTTACAGTCCAGGATATCGACGTAGAGGAAGGTAATGAAAGCAAGACCCCATTGACCAGCGTGCTCTGAGATGTTCCACTGCTGAACAGCAAGAATCTTGCCAATCGGGTGGAAAGTAACGACCTGCTTGAAGAAGTCGAAAGCGGAGTTGCCAGTCTCGGTGTACGGGAAGTAGGTGACGCTTGTTGGGCGAGGCCACGAGATGATGGAAACAAGGAGAATGCCGATGATGATGGCACCCTTGACGCGGTACAGCATAAGCATGACGGTCAAGACACCGCCACAGAAGATACCGATCCACATGGTTGGGCTCCTCATCTTGACACTTCCTGGGCAGACGCCATCAACCTGGTCGGCGGCAACGCAACCGGCGAGCTCGAGAGGGGTCGATTGAGCACCGGTGATGAGACCAATACCGGCGGAGTAGGCGAGACCGATGATAGTCAGGTAGAGTCCAATACCGACACCGGTGGCGAGCTTGATACTAGCGGGAATAGCTCGTGCAAGCCATTGTCGGATACCCAGCATAGTAAGACCAACAAAGACGAAACCCTCGACGAATACAGCGGTAAGAGCGACCTCATAGGGGACCATGCCTAAAAAGCAATTAGCAACGTTCCATGAAGATCATCTGGTACGACCCGTGGCGCCGGTAAGCAGACCCAATTAGGGAACCGCATAACGGGAATACATAAACGGGAACGGGGAAGGCGCATTGGTGCAACGTACCTGTACCATGGAAACCAACTACGGTGTAAGCAAAGTAGGCGTTCAGCCCCATTCCCGGAGCCAGAGCAATGGGCAGATTGGCGAACAAGCCCATGCAGAAAGTAGTCAAAGCGGAGATGGCAGCGGTCGCAGTAACCAGATCACGTCTGACTTCCTGGACACAGAGGGCGTACTGTGGGTTCGTCTCGCAGATGGGGTCGTCCGGGAGGCCTGGGCACACGCAAGTACCACCAGTGTCTGACACGATGGATGCTACACATGGTCATCAGATGCGGTCCTGTCAACGACATTCCGCAATTGACATACAGTTTACAGAGATGATATAAGCCATGGCGAAGAAAGTGGCTAGTCCCGCGCGGAACTCAGTGAAGAAGTAGCTCCCCTTGCGCTCTTTGGGCTATAGGGCTGTTAGTGCATGTACCGACTATCGACATGCGATATACATACATGACCTGATCCCTCGAGGCGAAAATACCGTCCGACGACGGAGCGCGCGACCGCGCCATTGACCTTGTGAACAAAGCCCGACATTGTAGCAGAATTTTTTCGACGACACAGAGGGGTTGAATCGCAAAATTCCAGGTTGAGTTGTGTGCGATGAAGAGGTACGGTTGATGCGGAGTCGACCGGCGAGAAGATCGACGTCAAGCTCTGCTCTTTTTACCAGTGAAGGCGAAGCGAGTCTTTTAAGTCAGGGTGCGTTCGTAGCACAGGGCCTGAACGGCGGATGTGAATGAAAGTGTATCCCGCACCAAAAAGATAAGGACCAGCGGCGACGACCAACCCTGTCGCGTTCGACCTCCCGCGAAGAACCAATGACCCATATCAGGCCGATCAAGCCCTGCTTTAGTTGGACTAGTCGCGCGGCCCATGCGATTCCACTTCGCGGCAAGCTAGGCTGTCTCGGCGTGCTGCGCGTGAAGGTGACCGGCCGCTTCCCTCAGCCTAAGCCTGGGGAACGTCGTGAAGTCCCGGGCACTGCAGCTCGCCTTTCGCGACACCTCATCTTGGCGCATACACATGCTTTTCCCCCTCGAAGCCACGCCAGCCCTGGCGTATCAGCGCGGACGCGCTATTCGGAGGTCGCCGGCCGGCGCCCGCAGCCACGACCTGTGGAAGTCGCCTCTTGTCCACGGGTATCTAGGACCGAATCTCTGTTATCGTAGCTGACGAGACGCACACCACGGGCGCACCTCGTCGATTGCAAATGGAATCTTGTCAATCTTCGGAATGGGTCGCTCGTGTTGGAAATAAAGGTGGAGCTAGTCCATGCGACGGTTGACGGAGACTCGCCTAGTCGCGTTAATGAAGTTCTGATAGCACCAAGTGGAGTCCTTGGAATGCCGTCAGCCTTCCACTGCCTGCAGCGCTGTTTCGCCTGCATATGTCGTCTGCCTTCGTCCTCCATTGCGCAACACGACCATCCATATTGACGTTGGTGACACCCGTGTCATCGTTGGGTCGCTTCTCCTCACATGCAGGAGCGAACCCGGCAGCCAGGGCATCGGCGACTAAGCGCATGGATACACAATATTAGCGCAAGGAGCTCCTTTGCCCAACATCCACCAACAAACGGCTTTCTACACACCACCTCCGGGGAACAAACACATCGCTTGCTATACATACGACCTCGCATGAACGCTACGAGTATACTAACTGGCACGTTCCTTCTGCTGGGGTAGTCTACGCTCACGGGGAAGCACTCGCGGCATCGCGATTCGATAAACTAATCAAAGACATCTAGCCTTCTTGTTTGTTCTTCCTACCTCGAACACCACCACCTCGACGACTAATCTCAAGAGTCACACAAGAACGACGTGGCTACACCAATCGCCCTCCAGCCCTAGACCATGCCACCACGATACCTCGCCTCGCAGCATCTCAAAAGCAATTACGCGTCTTCTGGCCTTGTGGGACTCCACTGGGCCACATCTAGAACGCCCCGATCTCAGGTTTCATGGCGCTTGATGCGGTTTGCCATGTTATCCGCGCCGCAGTCGTGTTGTCGCCGGATCTGGTGTAACAAACAATCCACATGGAGTATTTCGAGCGCGGATTAACGCGGCTTTCCCGATGCGCCACGGGCCGTGGTCCATCTGAAACTCGCCGCGGGGATCTATGAGGATAGATATTGTTACAAGGCCTCCTACTTTGCATAGGCCTGCCGTGGAGATTGTTGACGGCGTGATCGATGTCCTGTGTCAACATCGCCGATACCGGAGCCCAGCATCTCGGCGTCCATAGACTACGCTTCAAGCTGTTCGTGTCGCTATACAGAGAGCTGAGTATCCAGACGCTACGCAACAAGCACAACGATTGTTCTAACCGATATGCACTACGTGAGCTGAACGACGGTGCGGGGATCGTCGCCTCGC